CAGATTCATTAAGTGTAGTTAGGTGTTTGGTTAGTAAACAGTCTTACACTGGAATATGATCTAGTCTTCTCTCAGCCTCAGGGTAAACCTTCTCTCCCCTCTCTTCGCATTGCTTGGAAAATCAATCTCTCTCTCTTTCTCCTTCTCTCTTTCCCTCTGCCTCTCTGTCTCCGTGTGTGTGTGTGTGTGTGTGTGTGTGTTGGAGAGATACAACAAAAAAATCTAATCTGATTGTTTCCCCCTCTCTCTGCTAGGTACCAGCTTCTCTTGGTGGAATATGGGGTGAGGATTGAGTGGGAAGGACAAAACCAAATAACTCCACATTTAACTGGATGAGATTGACAGACGCTCAGGGTCCCCTAGACCCTGGTGGACCTTCGCTGATGGCCTTGTGGAAAAAGGGGAAAATTTCCTCGTCCCTCCTCTGGTTCTTCGGGCTGGTTGAATAATCAAATTGACATGAAACAGATAGACAAGAGAAAAGTCAAATTTAATTTTGTGCCCACAGGAACCCCACATACACGAGGGAGTCGAAGACTCTGCAGAGGTGACAGGTTGAGACAGAAAGGGAAATTAGTATGTGTGAGGTAAGGCACCTTGGGCTTCAGTGGGGCATTTCAGGGTGACGAGAGGAGAGGATGTTCAGTGATCAGCAGTTTGTCCTGCCATGCACATAAGTCAAAAAAGGTTATTTCGGATAATCTTTTAGTATGGGTAAAATCCCTAGTTCAAATTCTTCTAGGTAGTTAAGGGGTAGGGGGTAGAAGTTTCTCTTGAGCCTGCAGGGACTCATTGCCTCTAGCTCAAAATAACCCACATAACACAGAGGAACATGTTGGAGTGACTTGTTCTGAACCGTGTTGCCTCACACTGCGCTCTCTGATGTTCGCGTCTAGACTCTACCTGGGTGGTCCTGGGAAGACGGCAGCCCATAATCTCCTCTGGCCTCGTGGCCAGCTCTCTGGCTGCTGGACTTGAAGAGGAGACTTGTTCCGAGTCCTGCTGAGGACTGGGGAGCAATGCCTCACCAAACGCTCCGCATTTCCTGTCGTTCTGCTCTGTAGCAGGATGTGGGGGTACCAGCGAGGCAGAGGTGCCTCAGAGACAGTAACTGCCCCTTCCTTTGTGCAGCTCCCCTAACTTCCTGAGGGACTCCGCTGCCCTGCCCTGCCCCCCTCTCTTTCCAGTCTCCTGCGAATGTTGGCTCACTCGCTGGTTCTCTCTCTCCTAACTTCATCACCCCACATGGGGCTCAAGGAAATGCCTGCATGTTTTCCTACACCACTTGAAAGGGCGGGAAATACACAGTGGCAGTCACTCTGTCCTTAACATTTCTCAAAACAACCTGGCCATCAGAGTTCCTGATGGGACTGTCAAGGCCAGGTCCTCGTTGCTCTGATGAGGGTAGGGCAGGGCAGGGTAGAAGACAGAGGCAGACACACGTCTAAGCCTTCCTTCCAACTTCTCTTCCCTCCCGACTCCCCTGGAAGCAGGGGTGGAGTGGGGGGAGTCCTTGCTCTACATGCTTACATTTCCCCCTACTATTTTCTATCTACCAGGTGGAAAGTTTCCTAATAAAAAATAAATAAATAAATCGAAATCTCTAGGGAGTGGGGCCCGACTATCAGAAATGTTTTAAAGCCCCTTGGGTGGTGTTGAAGCATAAGAGAACCGGGTCCACTGGTCTAGAAACATTGTGGCCTAGTAGGCTGGGAGGGAAAGAACCTCGTACACATCCCGCCACAAAACGTGGAGACCCAGGCACAGAGAGGCTCAGAAACTTGCTTTAGGTTACACAGCGAGTCATGGTCAGTGTTCGGATTTCATGTTCTGCTGCAGTGTGTTTGTGATGTTCGGGAAGCAGAGCTGAGTGCTTCATTTGTCCGCTCCTACTCCTCCCTCTCCTTCCTGTGTCCTGCCCACCTCCAAGGGCACCTCGAGCAGGTTGTGTTACAAGTGCCCCGGAACTGTGTCAGGCAAGGACTGTGGAATACACCCTGCCTTTGGACACTTGTGATTCCCACCGCGTGCCCCCCTCTGCGGCCAGGCCAGTCCTGCAGGGTGAACCAAGGCTGCACTGACTTCAGCACCCACCCACTGCCTGAGAAGGAGCTACAAAGGGGAAGAACAGAGGTGCAGACGGCTGTTTTACTAATCTTTGAGGAGGTTGAGAACATTCACCATCATAAGTGGCCAGGAAGAAGGAAGGACAGAACAATATCTCCCTGGCTAACCCATTATTTGGGGGCTAGCACAACATGCCTGGTTAGTTCCTTCACCCTTCGAGACTCAGCTGAGGCAAACATCTTCAATGTTCCCTGATCTCCTCAGCTGTCGGAGGTAGGAGACCTCCCTCACTGCTGACATGCGCTCTGGGCTCATCTCTAGTGCAGCATTTATCATATTGCACTGCTCACAAAGCACCTGTCTGTCCCTCTTCTTCCCACACCATGAACTCCCTGGGTAAACAGGAACATGCCCTTCACTTGTATCCTTAACATCGAACGTAGACCCTGGCACAGAGAAGATTCAGTAAGCATTTCTGAATGAATATCAACATTTTATCATTATAAACAATGACAAAAGATATTAAATTAAGGGGGTAGTAGCTTAAAATTTTATAAATCAGAAAAATGAGTCAGAGTTTAGATGAAGGTTAGATGACTCAAGCTGGAAAGTCATTGACTATTTTTAGCTTTTTTTTTTAACAGCTGGGAGCCAAGCCTAACCTGGTGTTTAATTTCCAGGGCAGAGGGGACCAGAACAACTGAATAGACTCTAAAACTGATTTAATCCCTGGTTCTAATTTGTCACTTGGTGCATTCATGGTCACTATCACTGAAAGCCATTTAAAAAGCCCTATGCTTGCTGTTCTATAGAGCAATTTCAATGTCAATGATTACAAATCAGGGCTATCTTGAACATCACACACACAAAAAGTCACTGATGTATTTTTATATATGCCAGGAAATCATGAGTGTTCCTTCTCTCAAGCAAAAATGCAAGCCCTGGCAGGTGTTGCTTAGTGTTTAGAGCACCAGTCCATGCACAAAAGTGTCATGGGTTCAGTTCTGGTCAAGGACATGTAGCTGGGTTGCAGGTTTGATCCCAGCCCAGTGGGTGTGTGTGGGAGGCAACCAATAGATGTGTCTCTCTCACATCGATGTTTCTCTCTCTCTATCTCTCTCTCCTCCTCCCTCCCTCCTTTCCACTATCTCTAAAAAATAATAATAGAAAAAATATCCTCGAGTGAGGATGAACAAAACAAAACAGCAACGACAACAACAACAACTTAAGAGTCCATTAAAGTTTATTAAGTCTCTCTCTATATATATGTTTGTTTGTTTTCTTGCATTCTTATCTTCAGATAGAGTGGGCGGGAGAGGGGGGAAGAGATAGAGAGAGACCATCGAGTGGTTACCACCCACACGACCCCATCCGGGGCTGGGGACAAACTGCAACCGAGGTGCATGCCCTTAGTGCCCAAGTGTCCACAGGCCGACACTCTACCTGTTGAGCCAACAGGCCAAGACTTTTAAGTCTATATTTTGACAATAACTTGGGCATGGATAAAAGAGAACCTACTGTTAGTTCATTGTTTATTCAGTAAATCATTTTTTTGAGCTATGAATTTGCAGAAGGCTCTTTGTTAGGAAATATGGGGGGCTCAGTATTGAACTGTTACTTGCCCTGAAAGACTTTACCATCTATGAAAGAAAGAAAGAAAGAAAGAAAGAAAGAAAGAAAGAAAGAAAGAAAGAAAGAAAGAAAGAAAGAAAGAAAGATCTGGCCGGTTTAGCTCAGTGGTTGGAGCATTGGCCTGCGGACCAGAGAGTCCCGGGTTCGGTTCCCGCTAGGCCCTATTGGCTAGGGGCACGTACCCACCCCCCCAAGAAAAGGAAGAATCTAAAAGAGAAAGGCAAACCAAAACCAAATATAAATAAATACTACATTTCATTTTATAGATGAAGACCATGTAGATGTGAAGAGAAACGGGAGCTCTGTAACAGCCAAAGACCTGAGCAGACGAGACGCAAGAGGGTAATTCTTAGTTCCGGCCATGCTTTCTGGTCACTTTGCCAGGCCAGCCTTGGAACAGAACTGTACGTCTCTGGCCTTTTCTTGAAATTGCGTCTGCTTCATGAACCTACAGACATGGCCTGTGGGTTTTTGGATTAGAAGATATATACACAGTTGATTTGTTATTTGCAAGTTCCACATTTGTGGTGTTACCTCCTCACTAAAATTTATGGATGACACCAAAAGCAACACAGCACTTCCATGGTCATTGCCAGACATGGGCAGAGCCCTGGAGAATCTGGGCTGACAGATGCTACCTTCCCAGGGGAGGTCAAGCAAGGCTAAGCTCTGCCCTCTTTCAGCTCTCCGGCCGTACACAGTGCCCTTTTTACAGACTACAAAGAAACCATTTCTGTGGGGGTTTTTGGTGTGTGTGTGTGGGGGGGGGGCTATTTAAAATGGCCCCCAGCACAGTGCTGAAGTGCTTTCCAGTATCCTGGGGACAAAACACATACGTTTAAAAACCCTAATAAATGTCATGCAGTATGAGTTATGATGCCATTGGCCCTGAGCTCAATGTTAATTAATTAAACAACAATATATGTTAAGTAAGGTATCTTGAAATAGAAACATACATAGAACAAAGTTGTATATTGGTCAATTGATAAAAATGTTGGGTCCAGTGGGTAACAAACCACACACTATTTCCACCAGGAGTAGTAATCGGTCAGTGCTGTAAATCCTCCCTCCTTCCTCTCGCCCTTGGTATTTGCCCTGGTACAACCCAGTTCAGGGCCTACTTGAGCTCCGTCAGGCATTTATTTGGCCTGAAAACGCGCTCTGAGCCAGGAGGGGGCGCCCTCTTCCCAATGCCCAGAGTGGCCGGCAGGTGGCGCTCAACGACGGGTTTTTCCCCAGCGTAGTCTAGGCCAGGTGGACTGGAAGGGGCGGAGGTAACAGAAGCGGCCAGTGGTGGCTTCTCGAGGCTCCTCTCCCCCTGCACGCAGAACCCGCGACACGCGTGCAGAGAGAAGGCGCCAGCAGCTGGGCCAGCTGCGTTCTGACTCGGGCACCGGGTCGGAATCTCTGCGAGCGCGCCCCAGCCACGCTCAGCCCGAAGTCGGCCACCATGGAGGCGCAGGCACAAGGTGAGTGGTCGCCGATCGTCCTGGGGGTTCGCCGATCGTCCTGGGGGGTCAGCTCCCCCGCGCGCATAAAGGCGCTTTTCCTGCACCACCTAACTTCTCGGACCGAGCAGACCGGTGCCATCCTCACAGATCCCCAACTCTGCCCCTACCCGCGCCTGCGGGATAATCCCTGCTCCCTAAACTCAGGGTTTGCTGTGGGGCTGGGGACCGGCGAAGACTCTAAGTGGAGAGGTTCCTCGTAGGAAATACGCCCACAGAATGCTCTCGCCCCTTTCCCCAGCTAGGCATGCCCGCTTCCTGAACCTCGCGAGTACCCCAAGGACCTGTTGTACCGGGTCAGAACCCTGCTTTCTTTCTCTTTCCCTCGGGGTGTGGGGAGGGAGCGTGACTTCCCTCGCCCTGAGCTGTGGGCTCGCGTCCTGCATGCAGCTCCCAAATTGGGGGCTGAGCGCGGGGCGCGCGAGGTGGTGGCTTCGCCGAGACCGAGTCCCCTGGATAGACGAGAGGCTGACCGCACGGGACCCGCCTTCCCAGGCGAGGAGAGCGTTGCCCGCCGGCTCATCTGCAGCAGACCGACACCTGTGTCCCGGTTTTCCGCGGTCAGGGAGCACCCTCAGCCTCCCCGGGCACGCGGGGCCCCCGGCCGAGGTCTGGTCGCCCAGCTCCCCACTCCCGGGGCTTCACGAAGGGCATCCTTTTATCTGGGGTCACATTCGCACCAGGGTTTGGGAAGCCTGATGGAATCGTGCAAGATCGGGACTAAACGGACTGTGGAAAGGAGCAGAGGTGGGAGGAGGTGCAGCACGAGACTGGGGAGAAGCAAGCCGATTCTGGGGTCTATCTTGGGAGCAACGCCAGGAAGGGGTGGGTTGAGCTGAGCGTTCTTCATCCTTTAAAACAACCATTGCACCTTTCTTCTGTAGTGTAGGGAATTCTGTGATGGCTTTTAAGGTAACTGAAGGAGGAGGTTCGTGACCCTATGCGCTCGCCCTCTAGGGGCAGAAGCGTGCTGAGAGCGGTTTGGCGGTGCGGGGCCTGGACCCATCCAACAGGTTTTGTGCCAGGATTACAATGGTCTGAACAGCGCGAACCGTCCTGTTTGTTCCATCAGCCCAGGTCCTGTCCATAAAACTGCCCATTAGTTAAATAAGAAAGGAGAATTGAACCCCCCTGAGGTTGGTCAAATTCAAAAGGGGAGGTCGGCTAGGAGGCCTTCGCTCCTAAATTGAAGCAAGTGGGAACAACACTGGAATTTACCAACCTGAATTGCAAATTAGAATTATTTGGAGAATTTTAAATACTGGCTCTGGCTAATCCCAGACCAATCCAACTGGCATCTCCTGGGGCCTGGGCATGGGGTATATTTGAAAGCTTTCCAGGTCATTCTATTACTGAGTAAGTTGGAGAAAAACTCCCGAAGACATCTGAAACTGCAGGTTGAAACCACGGGGTCATTGGTTTGCTTTACTGGAGAGATTTACTTAGCAAACATTCTCCTGCTTTTCTTTGCCAAGCACTGTGCTAGGAGAAGCAAACACAGATTTGATTTCTGCTCCCTGAAGTTAACAGTAGAGGAAGAGACAGACATTAATTTGAGAGTTATTTGATAAATGCGAGATTGCAGCCGCGCAAGGAGGGCCGCGCAGTGCAGGGAGAGCCTGGAAAAGCTTAGGCCTGGTAGTTGATAACCGAAATAGTGACGCGTGTTTCCTGTGCCCACTTCTGTTCTCTGTGCTTTACGTGTGTTGACTTATTTCTTCTTCACAATAGTCTCATGAGGTAGGTAGTGTTCTCATTCCCATTGCACAGAGGAAATAGGCACAGGATGTAAATAAATTCTTTGTAAATCAAGTAGGTAATGAGCAGCAGAGTTGATGCTTGAGTGCCTCATTAGGGCTCAAAGCCTACCGCTGGAGGGGACAGGTAGAACCCAAGTCTGCACTGCTGTCCCCTGCCCTCTGCCCCTCTGCCCCTCTGCCCCTTCCCCTCATGGATGGGTGGAGCCTGAGTGGATTAAAAAGGCAAATGAAATATTCCTACAGAGACTTGGATTAGGGTGATGGCCAGTCACAAGGAGGAAAGTGAACAGATTTAAAAAAACATTTAGGAAGAAAATCAAAATAACTTTGATTCAATATGAAGAAGGGTGATGTCAAAGCTGACCTCACCTTTATGCTTTTACAACCAAAAGCATAAAGTTTTTGCCTCTTAAGTTTTTGAGTTTTTCATTTTAAGGCCTTTCTTTTGTCACTTAAATTGTTTTAAGATTAAAACTATTCAAAACGTTTATAATATATTAAAGAGAAAATCTTTCCCCTTGCCATATTTTTCTGGCTAAATGAAATTGACTGTTAAATTGTAAGAGAGTCCTTTGTGTAGGATTGTGTCATCAGCACAATTTATTTTAGAATTATCCAGAGTGGGGATGACTTATCTTTCTTCCTCCTGATTTAGAGAGAGCAAAGATGAGTGAGGTTATGTAGACAGCTGCAGAAGCGATACCCCCTATACTTTCCAGGAGACCAACCAGGTGCTCTGGACATTATTTGCACAAATAGTTCAATAAACACACCAGTCAGTCCTAGTACTTTTCCATAAGTGAAATTCGGCAAACATGTCTTTTGACTTTGTAAAAGAAAAGATTACTTTCAGGAAAACAAGGACACTTTCTGGGAAGTTGGTAGAACCAAAACGTTTAAAGTGGGATTATGAGCAAAGCGATTCAGGGAGGAGGGGCTGGAGAACAGTGTGGGATGGGAGTGCCCCCGATGCCAGCCTTCCTGGTACTAGAGAATGTGGCCTGGACATAATGATCTATGAGAGGAAATTTGGTTATGAATGTACCATTTTCCTGAAACATATGGCAGTCCTTCAAAATGAAACATTGCTGATACTTTTTTAACTACCTGATACTAGTTCATTTTTCTAGGAAAAACTTTGCTTCTGTCTTTCCCAATGTCTTTAATGTTAAAATAAAAATTTTCTTTCCACTTAACCATTGTATATATTCAGATTAATAGCTGTACTAGTGTCCTGTGACTGCTGTAACACATTACTACAAATTTGGCGGCTTAAAACATCAGGAATTTATTCTCTCACAGTTCTGGAGCTAGAAGTCCAAACTCACTATCACTGGACCGAAATCAGGGTATCAGCTGGGCTTTGCTTCCTCTGGGAAAAATTAGTTTCTTGCCTCCTGCAGCTTCTGGTGGCTGTTGGCTGCATTCATGGGCTGCATCACTCCGCGGCCCCGCTGCCTTCTCTGCTGTTTCAGATTTCCCTCTGCCTCCAGGTTCTGAGAACATTTGTGAAGTCATTTAGAGCCCACGTGGATAATCCAAGATCCTCTTTCCATCTCAAGATCCTTAACTTAATCACATGTTCAGAGACCCCTTTCTTACATAAGATGGCATTTACAGGTTCCAGAGTTTAGGACCTGATATGCTTAGGGGCTGTTATTCAACCTACTACAGTAACTATTTTTTATATTTAGACATTCTAGTCAGAGGGTTCTCAGAAGTCCATGAATGACATACAGTAATACATGTCAGATTAATGCTGCCTGATTGCAAATTCCATTAAAGTGAAAATGTCACCCGTACCTTATACAATACTTTGCTCACAGAACATTTATTTACCCTCATCTTGTTCTAGGCAGAACTTACGGCAGCTTACACAGATACATGAAACACAGCAAGATAATGTAAATTAGAAATAGAAGAAATAAAGTGAACAAGGATAGGAACAGAAAATAAAGCAAGGAATGAAGCTCTAGCAAAATAAATACAATTGTATCCTTTTTAATAAATATTTTGTGGAAAACAAATTATTGCTCTGTGAACAATTTTGTTTTAAAACAATAAAATAATCCCTCCTTCCCCCTGCCAAACAACAACAGGCCAAATCTCTTACATTGTAGGAATCAGATTACTCAAAGAAAAAAATCCTTTTGCAAATTTCAGTCAATGTAATTATAAACCTCATGCAGTGGGAGCTAGGTGTTAAACATTTTGATTTATGATTTTTTAAAGTATTATTAAGAACATTTTTACTGTCTTCAGAGCTGCTCCTATTGTTTTATTTTCCCTCTAAAAAGAGGTTTTAAAGTAGGTAGTGACGTACACATAAGATGAAGTCAGTTGCCTGGCTGGTGTGACTCAGTGGACTGAGCACCGTCCCATGTACTGAGAGGTGCTGGTTCGATTCTCAGTGAGGGCACATGCCTTGGTTGCAGGCTTGATTCCCCATAGAGCATGTGCAGGAGGCAGCCAATCGATGCGTCTCTCTCACATTGATGTTTCTATCTGTCTTCCTCCCTTCCTCTCTCTAAAAAAATCCACAAATACGTGTGTGTTTTTTTAAAGATGAAGCCAATCATTTGCAACACATCATATGTTATTGTTGCAATTAAAATTCTTATAAAATCTAAGCGTACAAATGACAGATATTATCGTATATGTGAATCTATTTCGGATTGCCTTCTCTAATATACACCCTGTCTTCTTGATCCTCTTGGTGGGCAGAATCTGCAAAGTTGCTTTATAAAACTTATAAGCAACAGGGTTCATTTTTGTGGCCTGTGATAAGATTTGGGACTTAGTGAGTGAGAGTAAATAATAAATGAGTACTTCTGCAAGTACTGACTTGTCAAATAACTATATCAACAACTATTTATTGATTGCTGTAGTAATAGCATATTGTAACAAGCACTTAATATTGAGAGGCAGAAGGGGACAAGGGTCAAGATTCCAGAATCAGGGTAAACTGCCTGGATTTTAATCCTGACGGTGTCACCATTACTATGACCCTCAACAAGTTAGTTCATTTCTCGGGGCCTTGATTTTTCCATTTGTAATGTGAAGAATTACACCTAGGTCATAGTATTGTACTGAGGATTTAACAAGTGAATACAAGCAGTGGTCTTAAAACAGTGCCAGGCATGTGGTAAGTACTATATAAATGTTTGCTTGTTGTTCTTACTAGCATATGCCAAGAACTTT